CCTTCTCTCTTCCCCTCCTCTCCCCTCTCTCTTCCCCTCCCCTCCCCTCTCTCTTCCCTTCCCCTCTCCCATTACCTTCTACCTTCTTTTTTTCTTTTTTCGTCCCCTTTTTTGAGTGTGTATTTGTTTGGCTATTTGTGTATAAGCATGTATGTGTATGTAAATGTATATGTATTTATATATGTACGTTTATATATATATATATATATATATATATATATATATATATATATATATATATATATACATATATATACATATACATACATACATACACACACACACACACACACACACACACACACACACACACACACACACACACACACACACACACACACACACACACACACACACACACACACACATACACACACACATACACACACAGAGAAAAAGGAAAGGAAAAGGAAGGGTGGAAGGTGGAAGGTAATATTACGTATATATGTATATGTGCATGTACATATAAATAAAACCACGTCACGTTTTCCATTTTCATTGTAGTTCTCCCTGCATACCCCGTTGCCATTTGCAAATATTTCCCCCTTTGCACTGCTATTCATTTTTTTCTCCTTTCCTGCATTATGACATTTTCCCCAGAAATATGATATTATGACATTTTTTTATGCTGAAATGGGGTCTTCCTTGCGCCACTGTACTTTTTTATTCATCCTCTACACTTTTTTTTCCCCTCAATCTCTCACAATGCATACGTACGTACATACGTACGTACATTCATAAGCCTGCACACATACAAATATATGTGAAGTGTGTGTTTGTGTGTGTGTGTGTGTGTGTGTGTGTGTGTGTGTGTATGTGTGTGTGTGAGTGTGTGTGTGTGTGTGTGCGCGCGCGTGAGCGCGCCTCCATATATGTATACATTCAAACCCGTCATTAAGAGTACCCTTGCCTCCTAAGTGAAAGGAACAGATGGACAAAACCTTTGCTTACCATAAACAGGAGCCCGTGCCCCCCCCCCCTCCTCCGCCGCGAAAGAGAAAGATGAAATGAAATGAGTCATGAAAGGAGAAGCCGAGGGAAGGGGGCGTGGCTCCCTCCCTGTGGGCGGGCCGCGTTGGCGACGCCCGTCATGCGCCCGCCATAATTCGTGGGCGCCGGGGCGGAGGTCCGGAGCGCCAGCCGCCCTAAGCTGCACTAAGCTTCCACTCGCTCGGGACGCAAGAGCTCCCAGACTCGAAAAGCTTCTCTTAAGCTTTCCCGGACATGCTCGTGATGTTGCTGTTGCCGATGGCGATGCTGATGTTGCTTCTGCTCCTCCGGTGCGGTTGCTGTTCTGCTGATGTTGCTGGTGCCGAAGCTGGGGTCTGTTGATGATGTTGAAACTGTGTTCTGTTGATGTTGAAGCTCCGTTCTGTTGCTGATACCGAAGCTGTGTTCTGTTGATATTGAAGCCTTGTTCTGATGTTGAAGCTTTGTTCTGTTGATGTTGAAGCTGTGTTCTGTTGCTGATGCTGAAGCTGTATTCTGCTGATGCTGAAGTTGATGAAGCTGTATTCTGCTGATGTTGCACTTGAAATTATTAATCCTGTTGCTGTCATGCTGCTGATACTGTTGCTTCTGTTGCTGTTATTGTTGTTGTTGATCTGTTGCTGTTGTTGTTTTCTTTGTTGCTGTTGCTCATGGGGGCTTTCCCTCCCTCCCTCTCCCCCTCTCTCTCTCTCTCTCTCTCTCTCTCTCTCTCTCTCTCTCTCTCTCTCTCTCTCTCTCTCTCTCTCTCTCTCTCTCTCTCTCTCTGTCTCTCTCTCTCTCTCCCTCTCTTTCTCTCTCTCTCTCTCTCTCTCTCTCTCTCTCTCTCTCTCTCTCTCTCTCTCTCTCTCTCTCTCTCTCTCTCTCTCTATCTATCTATCTATCTATTTCTCTCTCTCCTCCCCCCTTTACAGATCCCCTGCCTCTCCCCTTTCCCCCTCCCCCTCCCCCTCCCCTCCTTGAAGATAACTTGCACGACCTAACTTTTACACCGTTATTGCCTTCTTTATGGTCCATTTTTGAGCTCTTGGGT